TTCAAATTGAAATATGACTGCTCTTTTATACTATACTGGCTGTGTGCATGCTTCATAGTCTTGTTTAGCCCAGCGCGCTGCGGACGCGCTGCGGACGCGCTCGTGCATTCACGAATGCCATTCAAATTGAAATATGACTGCTCTTTTATACACACTACTGGCTGTGTGCATGCTTCATAGTCTTGTTTAGCCCAGCGCGCTGCGGACGCGCAGCGGACGCGCTCGTGCATTCACCAATGCCATTCAAATTGAAATATGACTGCTCTTTTATACACACTACTGGCTGTGTGCATGCTTCATAGTCTTGTTTAGCCCAGCGCGCTGCGAACGCGCTGCAGACGCGCTGCGGACGCGCAGCGGACGCGCTGCGGACGCGCTCGCGCATTCACCAATGCCATCAAACTATATATGACTGCTTTGCAAATACGGGCTGTTAAAAAATATTGGCTGTGTCTTTCAATACGTTACTATAGTGTCTTGTTTAGCCCAGCGCGCTGCGAACGCACTCGCGCATTTACCAATGCCATCAAACTATGACTGCTTTGCAAAAACGGACTGTAAAATACTGGCCGTGTCCTTCAATAAATATAGTCTTGTTGAGCCCAGCGCGCTGCGAACGCGCTGCAGGCGCGCTGCGGACGCGGTGGCCATCACCTAGATTTAGTTTCTCGAAAAGCAGCCCGTGAGGAGGTATGGCGCTAGCAGTGAAATAGTTGGCTATACAATTAATGGGCATCACGGCATCAACCAAACTTTTCTACCTTTGTGGAGGATATGTCTGGCTGTAGGTTGTGTTACATGTATACAAAAGCGCGTTTTTCTACCTTTGTGCCCTTTACATGCCTATGTCATTGTGTGCAACCCTGGAGATGCATTGGACAAGAAGAGTGAAGCAACTTTGGATGAGATCAGAGGGCTCTTCGATGAAAGCTTGAGCAAGAAACACAAGCTCAATGACGGCTCTTCGATTCGGCAGCCGAGCGTGTGACATTTTGTTTGCATCTTGCGCTACACACTTGTTGGCGGCTAGTGGTGTCCACCTCGTAAAAAACGAGGATTTCTCGTGATTGCAGTCCTTTGTCGCGTTGATTTGCTGAAAGGTTGGGCATTCTAATTTGATTTGCCAGGAATTTCACCTTGAGGTGGCAGCTGAGATGAGAAATCAGAATTGGGTTTTCGTGATGTTTGTTTTGCAGTGTGTTCCTGAATGTTCTTCGAGTAATGGCAATCTTCATTTCAGATCAAAGTCTGACGCTTTCTTCCGATTTGTTGTGGTGCTTCTTCGGCTGCAGGCTTTTGTCATCGTATTTGTTGGACCTCTTTGTGCCGTCCAAAGGGGCACGTCTAATCCAAGGCCTGATTTCTTAAAGGTCCATGTCATTAATCCCACTGCCTTGTATGGCAAAGCTGCAGTTGCTGAGTTTGGGGGTATTGTCCGTGCTTCTGAAACTTCACAAGCACGCGCCATAGATGGCCGTGGCGTTTTCTACCCTTTTTCTTGAGAGCAGGTGCACTTTTTGACGTTTCTGTAGTTTCTGTTTGCTGATCTTACTACCTTGCCACTTTGCATCTTGACATGAAATTGAGGGTGTTGAGAATTGGCGATGTCGTGAGTGATGTTGTTAAAGTTTATTTTGTTCATATTGATGATATTGCAATTCATTTGCATTGTTGGGTTTCTTGAACATGAAATTTTTATCATGCAGGTTTTGATGGTGTTGAAGAGTTGATGAGGATGTTTGTGTTGATGATGTTGTCGGTACTGATATTCGAATTGATGATAAGGGTTATTTTTCATATAATTAATGAACTATTGTTAATATTATTGAACACATTGAAGTGTGTTTGATTTAATATATTATATAATTGGATAAGTTTAAATGGATTTGTTCAACGGGGGTGGTTTTGTGTTTGTTCAAAGTTTTTCTGGCCTTGCAGTCATTGCAAATGTGCTAAGCAAACATTGTCAGTGGTTGCAAGGGAGTGAATGATATAGCCATTGCAAATAGGCCAGGCAGAAAATGCTAGTAGTATGATGTAGTATGTAGAAATTGCGAAAAAAAAATACAGGCACTCTGAGGGTGTCCCTTTCTGGAGAGCCTTCTGTTTTTAAACGTCATTTTCCAGTCCTATACACACACATGTGCTTCAATGTGTCATCGCGGAAATGCACGCATGGGGGGGTGGGGGGTGGGGGAGCAAACGACGTTCTTTCAACGACGCAATGATGTTATGGGTTATGGATGGTTACGTTGCGATTGTGGGTTCCTGGACGTTTTCAGTAAGGCTTCATAGGTTGGCGTTGTGGTTTGAGCCTGGATAGGTATCGCACTGCGTTTTTTGTCTGTTCGTGGAGTAGATTGCGGTAAGGTTTCACAGTTTTCTATTGGGCGACAAGTATCGCAGCAATTACTTTTCGGTATGTTATCTAATTACTTGGAATCGTTGGTTTCTCGAACTTCGGTGCGAACAAATCGGAAGTGAGTGTTTGCACATTGTGTTGGACCCTGACCGTTTCTACGACTTCTCATGTACCGCGCTTTACTTCTTATGTTGTTTCGATGTTGCTTGTGTGTTTGGCCCGTTTTTTGGGCCGATGGCCATCGAGGGGGGCGAGTGCATTGGACATCCCGGGCCGAGAGGTGACACACCAGGTGAAGCAGTTCACGCAGTGTCCCGCTGAACCCTGAACGGATCCTTTGTGAGCCCTCTTGCAGGTACCCAACCGATTGATAGATCTTGAAGGTCTTTGAAAGAGTTCCTTGCACATGACCAAAAAGGAGAATGGACACACGTTGTTGAATCCGTTGCTGAAGCAAAAATGCTTTCAGCGGATGGCGTCAGCACAGCAGATGTTCGACAAAACGCCGGCTGAATTCATCCTTTGTTACGAGTAGCTTCTTGTTACTAGTAGTAAGGCCAGGAGCCCATCCTAGCGTCCTTGCTCCTAGTAGCGATGCCAGGAGCCCCTGTAGCTTCTTGTTACATGAACCTCGGCGACTCCTGACGACGTGAAAACTTGCCGAGGTCTCGTTAGTTTCTGGCGTTGTCAGTGGTAGTGCTGAACCGTAATTCGTTTCGGTGTTCTGAACACGTGTTTCTTCTCCCAGTCAGGAGCCGGGTTCCCAGTCAGCACTTCAGACCTCCCAATTTCTCACCTGTGGCCCCGCGAATAATCAATACAGCAAAAGCCACGGGCCATCTATGGCGCGTTCTCTCTTCGTTTAGTTGGATTTCTGAGGCTGACCGGTCCGCCCTCGTGTGCATCTGGCTCCTTGACAACTGTCTGGGGTGAAACTCGACTTGTTAAACACGGACTGCTGCGCTATACTCCAACATTGGAATTCAATCAGTTGACGCAACAAAAACATGCTGAAGCTGTTTGGGGTCTATGCTGGCATCATTTGATAGCAATACAATGCAATACATGCCTTTGAGCAGCCAGTGGAACGTCGAAATGTTGTTTTGTTTTTCTGCGCCTGCCAAATGCAACGTGTTTTTCAGCTTCGGCTAACTCCAAACATCTGCAAAGGCACACACGAAGCTGAAGGAAAAGGTCCTTCAGCCTCTGAAAAAGTCGGCCTTCTCCACAAAACTGCCAACCGAACCGCGAACGTGTTCGAACCACGAACCGCGAACCGAAGCGACGCACCAATCGAACCGAACCGGACCGCCGGGTCCAGCACCGGAATCGCTCGAAGCGGAACCGCTCCACAAACTGAAACGAACCAGTTCCACCCTGCATATTGCAACTCTGACAGAAGACCCTGGTTGCAAAGCCAGCATGTGCGCTTCTCTTCATCTGTTTTTGAGCCGTCAACAACTGTCACCAATCTCACAATCCGGGTTGAGTCCTCAATGGGACGCCCAATACCGGCCACATTCACTGCGCCGTTATAGGCTTGGGTGAGGGCTTCGAAGCTGCACTGTGGTTGAATGTCCTGCTGGACAGCAACAAAAGTATCAAACTGCTTGAACTTCTGAGATTCTTGTTCCACAATGCTTTACCTGGTCTTTCCCTGATAAGAAATATCGAGTGGCGGCCCGCCCGAAAAGATGAGAAAAAAAAACACGGATGCCCTTCTCCTCGATCGAGCGCTCGTACTCCGGCGGAAGCTGGATTGAGTAAACGCCGATGAGCACTCCATCCTGTCAAAAAGATAGGGCCGGGGTTAAAGCAGGAATCCTTAATTAACTTAATACACTGATATACACTGCTGCAAGAGGTTGACGAACCCAACAAGTTTGAGTGCCCCTCAATGTCAAAACTGCGGTCGCACATCACCCTCGAAAGCCCAAAAAGTGAGACTCACAAACATGACATAAACATAGATAAACCACAAGATGCTGGGTCACATGTGCAAATCGTGTGACTGTTCAACAACTTGTTGTGAAAGGTGAGTTCTCGCATTGCGCCTCATCTCTCAAGCCAGTTGAGAAGAAGGCTGCAGGAGCATAAGCACTGGGGCCATATGGTTGCCAGTCAATATAAGTGAGATTGTCCTCAGACCGAATGGTTGTCATTGCTATTAGGTTGGAGGCCATCGCTAGTAGTTTGGAAGCCATTGCTATTAGTAACAAGAAGCTATTAGTAGCTCCTGGCATCGCTACTAGGAGCGAGAAGAAACTAGGTTGGAGGCCATCGCTAGTAGGAAACGGAAGCCATTGCTATTCAGTTGGAGGCCATCACCACCACATGACATGGTGTCACCGTCCACGAAACGATTCCGCCCAAGGCTCCGGATTCTGTAAGCCTCCACGGAAGGCTTGGCCCAAGCCTGAATCTGCCCAAGGTCCTCACGACGGAGACCCTCGAGAAATGGACCAATTGACAGCAGAAAAAGGGGTAGTTGTATAACGGCTTAACAGAACAGACTGAACTGATCGATGTCAACATACTACCCAGTTCTAACATGTTCTAGCCCCTTCTTTGGCGTGGTTCTTGTTCGACAGCTTGTCCTGACCCAACTGCCTTGAAATTTGTCGCGTAGTCGGTCTCCTGAAAAGGAAGAAACGCAGAGTCTGCATTCAGGAAAAACTAAGAAACAGATTGCCAAATTTGTCACTTTAGAAAGACAAACACGCTTAATCAACAAAAAACAAGTCTAAAGTCAAAAAGAAACCAAAGAAAGCTCGGTTGCGCTTTGAGCTTGCTCTGAGCTCCTTGAAGACCGAGTAAATCAAATCACCGTTGAGATCGAAGAAGAAGATGTCGTAATATCCACGATCGTAGAGTTTCTTCCGGTAGGTTGGATGATATTGGCCGTGGATTCCATGATACCTCTCTGTCCCATCAGCATACAGAAGCTCATCCTGTCGAAGTCAGAGTAGAGATTCGGCTGTTTAGTTTCCGCTGAAATGATCTGGAAATGCAAACAATGTTCGCTACTAGGAACAAGTGCATCGCTACTAGTAACAAGTGCCTTACTAGTAGTAACAAGAAGCTACTAGGAACAAGTGCCTTACTACAAGTTACAAGAAGACACTTAATTAAGGCAAGGGCTTTCTGATCAGTGACGTAGAGGTCAAACAATGCCTTGCAGCTTGTGGACCAGTGCAACCGGGTCCAGGTCGAATGAACATATTGAATGTCCTTTAGGTGGAGGCCATTGCTATTAGGTTAGTGGCCATTGATTGCTATTAGGTTAGCGGCCTCGCTAGTAGGTTGGAGGCCGTCGCTATTAGGTTAGGGGACAATGCTATTAGGCTAGTGGCCATTGCTATTAGGTTAGTGGCCATTGCTATTAGGTTAGCGGCCC